TAAATTGCGTGGTGTGCCATGTGGAGAAGTACGGTCTCTACGTCGTCTCAGAATAATTTAAATATAGCGACAGTGTCGACCATCATTTGCAACATCTTGAGACCGTATTTGACCACTTGTAAAGCAAGCGCATTTCAATGCATTGCAATGCTCACTCGCCAATCTGGTTCATCAACGCTGAATAAGTGGGCCACGAAGCAGAGTACCGCCAAAAAGCGATGAAGGATTTTATAATGTCGCGGGACTTTTGATGGCCAACGTTGAAGGCTAACCAAGCAACTTTTGAGCCATTGGATGTCTCACTCACTCTCTCATCCAGAGGGGACCTGATAACAGATTGGCGAGTCCTGGATTGCATCAGCTCAAGTGACCGTCGGCTTATAAGATACAAAGTTGGAGGAGTACCCCATGCGAGACTCCCGGGGCTGGTGGGAGTGCCTGCCTGTTTCCAGGACTGGGGGGTAATCGGAGCATCTTTCGCGGAACTGTTCATGTATGAATAGGTGCATTGAAAGTGAAACAGTCGACTGACCGTCTTTGTGTGCAATTCACAGACATTGTAGTTCGATCTGCGGAAGATGTCCTGGGGAAAGCGTGTCGTAGGGCTGTGAGTGTTGGATGTCTGAACTTGATAGCATGAGGATGAAAGTATGTAATGCAAGAAGGGCATGGTAGAAAACTATAAGGAAGGGAGTCAGATCTGAGGAATGCGCGATCTAGAGAGTTAAATGGGGACAAGCAGCTGGCCTACTTTAGAAAACTGCGGAGATGGGAAATGTGGACCCATGAGAACGGGCACACAAGATTTCAAGCGGACGGTATCGTCCTCCCAGTGAATTAGTCAATGCTATTGAGTATGAGGATTGACACTCGTGTGGGGGGGAGCATACGGGAGGCCCTAAGCCCGGACGATGATTGTCATGGACGGATGCATCTTATGGCCGCCTTCCCTCCATCTAGATCAACTGCCGTTTCCCCAACTATTGAGTGTCTGGAGGATATGGTCAGGGCGTTGCCCAACACTGCTCCGGGACTGGACGGGATTAGCAAGAAAGTGGTTAAGAATGTGTGGAAAGAACCCAGAGAGTTTCACTGCGTGTATAGCAAGTGCGTGAAACAGGATGTTTTCCCGGATGTATGGGAGAAGGGTTGGTTGATAGTAATTCCGAAAGTTAACGAGAAGTTATTGACGGACCCCAAGGCGTATCGCCCGATTACACTCCTTCCAAGTTTGCTGAATATATTGGAAAGAGTGCTGTTAGGATGTACCCCAAGTTTAATGAGGGGAATATCAGACTACTAGCATGGGCTTTGCCAGGCCTTTCTAATGTCACGGCGCTGGAAGAGGTGCTTCGTATAGCGAGCGAGTCGCAGTGCAAATAACTATAGGCCGTCTTCTTAGATATATCGGAGGTATTTGATAATGCATGATGGCCGATGATACTACTGAAGGCCAAAGAGGGTGAGATCTCACCCAACATCTATCTAATGTTGGTAGACCATTTCACCAAAATATGGGTGAGTTTCTTTCTTGGGCAATAGATTTAACAGAATCAGTCTCAGGACCGTGTGGAATCTACTGCTAGATGATTTGTTGAGGCTACCATTCCCTCCCACTCCTCCCATCTCGAAGATGATTGATTGACACCTGTGGGAGGATTTAGGTTAGTAAATATTCTTACACTGGTACTACGTGGTAAGGGTCACTCGTTTCATCATTTACTCTCAATAGTTAAGTAGTGCAGACACTTAATCACACACAACATCGCATCACTTTCACGTATTAAAATCTACTTCAAAACATTATATGAACAATGGTACAGAAGTAACGATTTACCGCAGATCAAGTTCCTACCAAAACTGCCCATCACACGCATACACAATGTAAAAGTAAATTATACTGTCAAAAAATACCCGCCTTTTTATAAAAAAAAATTATAAACACGTTAACGGTTTATGAAGCATTGTTTTCCGTTTATTTGCTGAAAACCGCACTGAATTTAATCACACTATATACAATATTATACAGCGTGTTCCGTAACTACACTCTTGACCTCAATTTTAAAAGCTTTCTTGAAGTTTGCAACAGATATAAGTATTGGGCAGGTACTTATCTCAATAGTAAGTTTATAGAATAGAATAGAATATTTTTATTTAATATAGATTAAAAGAATACTTTTAAGCTATATTAATAGTTTATAGAATGAGGATGACCAACGAGCACACAGTCCATCTGATGGTAAGTGGATGCTGTAGCCCATAGACGTCTAAAAGAATCAAAACGCAGATGCGTTGTCACCCCTGAGGACTGATATGGAATACCTCATGGCCAGTAAAAGATAGTCTCCGGATCTCTACACTCACCATACGAAACAACCACGCTGCAGCTATATTAAGGTTGTAGCACGAAAGAGCCAGCTCGACCGGGGAAGGACCACGCTTTCACAGAATATCAGTATTAAATAGCAGCTTAATACTGCTGTGTTTCGTATAGTGAGTGTAGAGATCCGGAGATCCTTTTTTACTGAAAACGAGACATTCCATCTTAGTTCTCAGGGGTGACAACGCATCTACATTTTGATTCTTAACGTTAAGAATCAAAACGTAGATGCGTTGAATACGTATTAGGTAAGTAATTCTCGAGGATGAATGGTTTACGGGCCACAGCATCCACTTACCATCAGGTGAACTGAGTGCTTGTTTGTCACTCTCATTCTATAAAAAAAACTGATAATAAAAGACCGATTTTGTTTAAATCCGCGTGGTTAAGCACAAACAATCGGTTCATTGCGCCAACAGTGCAATGAATTCTGCTCGGCTCGTTGAAATTGAAATTTGTGATAACAAATAAAAAATCGCATCCATTTTCAAATAAGTCGCAGAGAAGCAAAATTTATTCTTTGAGATATTCAAGTACAAAGGGAGAACTACAATGTAATATTCATGCATTACCATTTTAATATAGAACGTTAAGAATCAAAACGTAGATGCGTTGAATACGTATTAGGTAAGTAATTCTCGAGGATGAATGGTTTACGGGCCACAGCATCCACTTACCATCAGGTGAACTGAGTGCTTGTTTGTCACTCTCATTCTATAAAAAAAACTGATAATAAAAGACCGATTTTGTTTAAATCCGCGTGGTTAAGCACAAACAATCGGTTCATTGCGCCAACAGTGCAATGAATTCTGCTCGGCTCGTTGAAATTGAAATTTGTGATAACAAATAAAAAATCGCATCCATTTTCAAATAAGTCGCAGAGAAGCAAAATTTATTCTTTGAGATATTCAAGTACAAAAGGAGAACTACAATGTAATATTCATGCATTACCATTTTAATATAGAACGTCTGCAAACAGAAATGTTTCTTACATTTACGCGAAAGGAAAAGTCTCCATACAACGGTCGAAGTCAATGTGCAGCAATGGGATTAAAGGCTGAATAATAATAATAATAATAATAATAATACCTTTGGCATACTCAGGTGGACTCAGACTGAACTTAACGCCCTGGATAGAAAAGTCCGCACTACAATGACGTCCCATAGGATGCATCATCCGAGATCGTCGGTAATGAGGCTGTACTTGCCGCGGAAGCATGGTGGTCGTGGCTTCTTGAGCGCGCTCACCATGCATAATCGCGAAGTGTGCAGCCTCCGTGATTACTTCCTGGCGAGATCGGATGATCCATTCTATAAGGACGTCATTTCTTGTGATAAAGGACTTACCCCTCTATCCTTAGCCAACGAGCAATGGCAAGACCCGGCAGTGCAGAGCATTTCCGACCGGGAGACCGTATGGAAGGAGAAGGAGCTCCACGGGAGGTTCTACAAGGCTCTACATGAGCCTTTCGTAGACACAGTAGCCTCCCTCCACTGGCTACGCTTTGGTGATCTCTTCGGGGAAACCGAGGGTTTTGTCTGTGCAATACAGGATCAGGTTATTAAGACCAACAACTATCGGAGATACATCCTAAAGGATGGCACCGTCGACATCTGTCGAGCTTGTCGCCATCCCTGTGAGTCACTTAGGCATGTTATCTCCGGTTGTTCGGCGCTTTCTAACTCTGAGTACTTGCACAGGCACAACCTAGTAGCCAGAATTCTACACCAGGAGCTCGCTCTGAAATACGGTCTCGTGGATCGGAAATTGCCGTATTACAAGTACTTGCCGGAAGCCGTGCTCGAAAATGATCGCGCCAGGCTCTATTGGGACCGTGCCATCATCACAGACAGGACTATTCTTGCGAATAAGCCTGATATTGTGCTGATGGACCGGGCACAGTCAAGGATATTTTTGGTCGACATTACCATTCCGTATGACGAGAACCTCGTGAAAGCCGAAACAGACAAGCAAACAAAATATCTGGACCTGGCTCACGAGGTGACCGACATGTGGGGTGGTCTGCCGACCGAAATTATTCCTGTAGTCGTCTCTGCAAACGGGCTAATCCCAGTCAGCCTCTCGGGTCATCTGAGGCGGCTGGGACTACGTGGCGGACCGCTCCAGGTTCAAATGCAGAAGGCGGTGCTCCTCGATACCGCCCGCATCGTCCGCCGGTTTCTTTCCCTTTCCCCCTAACCCTCGGCCGTTTGGTCTCCCCCTGCCGAGGGCCTCCATCTGGTTGGGCTTTTATTTATTTATGTACTTTTATATTTATTTTATGTTATTGATATTTATGTATATTTGTCTTTTCATTTTCATTTATAATTATATATTTATAGCACCCAACCAGATGAGAAAACTATATAGATACCCCAAAATAATAATAACAATATATTAATACATGGCGTAGGGAAGTGACGACCCCATCGCCCGTTGACGTGACGGTTATGTGACAAAACCGCTACGTCCGCGCAGTCAGTCAGCACCTTGCCAAGAGGTGTGAGCGCCGTGCCTCGGCAAAAATTGATGGTGCAAGGGCCCGCTTGTGCATATGGCCTCACCATGAAACGGCGCCGGGTCTGGGCGTCTCCCGTTAAATGACGCCCTGTATGGATGATGGAACATAGAAGATTGCGCAAAGGGCCGCTGCCTGGAGGTCGTCAGGGCGCGTCTGGAGCTGGCGCTGGACGCGACAGCATGCGAACCGCCAGCCGAGTGCGAGGTGCTGCACGACCACCCAGCAGCCCCTCGCATCCATCATCCCCACCAGCTTGCTTGGTGTCGGCAGGGTCTTCGCAGGCCCAGCAATCGGCACCCGCCACTGGTGGAGTACGCCGCATGCGATGGACCATCAATATGAATTCAAACGCATTGCGGGCGTATTTTAGGGCGAAAGGGGGAGAAATTGGAGGTTTCGCGTATCGGGCTAGGATGCATCGTCTTTTTACTGAGCTGGAGCCATCTATTACTGTCACCGAGCAAAACCTGGCAGACCGAGTTCGGTATATCTTACGCTCAAATATATTTGATGGCGCCGAACTCGAACGGCTACGACGTGAGGCTGTTCCCTCATCAAATGAAAACGCTACGACTGAGGGTGCGGTGCCACAAGTTGCAGAACAACCCGCACACGTGGATGCCGCCGAGAATACCCCAGTGGTTGCTGATTCAAATGATGATGGAACATTCACCCAGGAACTAGAAATAGAGCAAATGAGGAGTACATTGGAAGAGGCGATTATGGAAACGCGCAGTACGCCTCTCGAAAATCGACCGCGACTTCCCCGCATAGCCCTAAGCAAGCGGAATCGGGCTGTCGTGAGGGCTCTGAACCCAATGCTGGTGACCTATTTGGAAGCCAGCCGGGACCTTTGCGAGACGGACTCAATTCTCTTTGGCGCCGCACTGGCAGTCTGCCGTATTATAGGCGCCAAACTTTCCACGGCTGGACGCACTACTGGACAAAGTAGTGCTATCCCAGCCTGGAGAACAAGAATTGAAGAACGTATCGCAAAGGCTAGGGCCCTCATCGGCAGACTGATATGCTTCAGGTCAGGCAATACCAGGCCAAGGATTGTGCGCACCGTCAGGATGGCGTTTGCTGGGACAAATGTTAGTTTGTCCCAGCCGGATATAATGCAAAAACTGACGGAGCGCATAGACGACCTGAAGCAGAGAATCGAAAGCGGATTCAACGATATACCGAGAGGTCGACACGGTTCAACCAGAATCGTCTCTTCCAGAGTGATCAGAAGAGGCTCTATAAATCATTGGAGCGACCAATGGTAAGTGGAACGGGCCCAGTACCGAATCAGGCCGACACGGTCGCATTCTGGCGCAGCCTGTGGTCAGAGCCCGTAAACCACAACGAGGGCCCTTGGACGGAAGTTGTGGCGAGTCAGTGTGCGGGTATTACGCCCATGGACCCCGTCACCATAACGCCGGATGACGTAGCTGAGGCGGTCCGTAGGGCCCCGAACTGGAAAAGTCCGGGACTCGACGGGCTGCATCACTACTGGCTGAAGGGGTTCGTGGTGTGTCACACTGTGCTCGCCCGACAGTTTCAAGAGGTTCTCAACCAGAAGTCGCTCCCGAGCCTCTTCACTACTGGGATCACCCATTTGGTTCCTAAAGGCCAGAGTACCACAGACCCGAGCAAATACCGCCCCATCACATGTCTACCGACCATATATAAGACACTAACATCCATTTTGAGCGCGAGAATCACTCGTCACCTGGACTCAAATCAGGTGATTTGGAGGAGGAGGAGGATGAGGACCCTTTCCGAGGCTGAAACATACCGATACCTGGGTATGTCACAGAACATCGGTATCGATGAGGCTGGTGTGAAACAGTCAGTTTGCGACGTGTTTTATGCACGCTTGACCAAAGTGCTTAATAGCCTTTTGTCCGGTGTGAATAAGACACACGCATATAACGGTTGGGTCATGCCTGTCCTTATGTAAGGTATACATAAGGACAGGCATGGCATACTCAGGTGGACTCAGACTGAACTTAACGCCCTGGATAGAAAAGTCCGCACTACCATGACGTCCCATAGGATGCATCATCCGAGATCGTCGGTAATGAGGCTGTACTTGCCGCGAAAGCATGGTGGGCGTGGCTTTCTAAGCGCGCTCACTATGCATAATCGTGAAGTGTGCAGCCTCCGTCATTACTTCCTGGCGAGATCGGATGATCCATTCTATAATGACGTCATTTCTAGTGATAAAGGGCTTACCCCTCTATCCTTGGCCAACGAGCAATGGCAGGACCCAGCAGTGCTTAGCATTTCCGACCGGGAGACCGTATGGAAGGAGAAGGAGCTCCACGGGAGGTACTACAGGGTTCTACATGAGCCCTTCGTAGATACAGTCGCCTCCCTCAACTGGCTACGTTTCGGTGACCTCTTCGGGGGAAACCGAGGGTTTTGTCTGTGCAATACAGGATCAGGTTATTAAGACCAACAACTATCGGAGATACATCCTAAAGGATGGCACCGTCGACGTCTGTCGAGCTTGTCGCCATCCCGGGGAGTCACTTAGACATGTCATCTCCGGTTGTTCGGCGCTTTCTAACTCTGAGTACTTGCACAGGCACAACCTAGTAGCCAGAATTCTACACCAGGCGCTCGCTCTGAAATACGGTCTCGTGGACCGGAAATTGCCGTATTACAAGTACTTGCCGGAAGCCGTGCTCGAAAATGACCGCGCCAGGCTCTACTGGGACCGGGCCATCATCACAGACAGGACTATTCTTGCGAATAAGCCTGATATTGTGCTGATGGACCGGGCACAGTCAAGGATATTTTTGGTCGACATTACCATTCCGTATGACGAGAACCTCGTGAAAGCCGAAACAGATAAGCAAACACAATATCCGGACCTGGCTCACGAGGTGACCGACATGTGGGGTGGTCTGCCGACCGAAATTATTCCTGTAGTCGTCTCTGCAAACGGGCTAATCCCAGTCAGCCTCTCGGGTCATCTGAGGCGACTGGGACTCCGTGACGGACCGCTCCGGGCTCAAATGCAGAAGGCAGTGGTCCTCGATACCGCCCGCATCGTCCGTCGGTTTCTTTCCCTTTCCCCCTAACCCTCGGCCGTTTGGTCTCCCCTGCCGAGGGCTTCCATCTGGTTGGATCTTTATTTATTTGTGTATTTTTTGTATTTATTTTATTTTATTATTATTTATGTATATTTATCTTTTCATTTTAATTTATAATTATATATTATAGAAACCAACCAGATGAGAAACTATACAGATACCCCAAAAATAATAATAATATTACCTTTTATTTATGTATTTATTTATGTATTTTTGTATTTATTTTATTTTATTGATATTTATGTATATTTATCCTTTCATTTTCGTTTATAATTATATATTTATACATCCCAACTAGATGAGAAAACCATATAGATACCCCACACCTTTTATTTATTTATGTACTTTTATATTTATTTTATGTTATTGATATTTATGTATATTTATCTTTTCATTTTCATTTATAATTATATATTTATAGAACCCAACCAGATGAGAAAACTATATAGATACCCCAATAATAATAATATTCCACTACTATCACACAACGCCATCTAGTCCCAAGCTAAGCAGAGCTTGTGTTATGGGTACTAGACAACTGATAAACATACTTATATACTTCTAAATACATAAATATTATAGATAAATTACACCCAGACACAGAACAAATGATCGTGCTCATCACACAAACATTTGTCCTGGGTGGGAATCGAACCCACGACCTCCGGCATAGCAGTCAGGGTCACTAACCACTAGACCAACAGGCCTGTCAAAATGTCAAAAATAAAAAGAAGAAGGTCATTTGTTCCCATTAGAGTTCGAATCTAGGACTCACGATTAGTTACATTTTGTAACCAATGGTCCAACCAGTTCATCTATTATAACCTATAACAGCCCACTGCTAAACATAGGCCTACCACGTAGATTGCCATTTTCCATAGTTGACAGACTTTTATGACGTAGTAGAGCCATGCCGCAGTTATATTTGTAGTATAGTTGTAGCACGTGCAGCAAGTAGGCAAGTAAACTCGCACCACTAAAACGCTCCATCTCGAACGATCTGTGACGTCACAGTGGCGCGATTTATACGTTCCACATCACCTGCGAGTGTGCGAGTTCCACACCACGTGCGAGCTTACTTCCCTACTTGCTACATACGAATGGGTCGGCTCGACCGGGGAAGGACTACGCTCTTCCTTGTTTCACAGAATACCAGCGTAAAATAGCTTAATGCTGCTGTGTTTCGTATGGTTAGTGTAGAGAACCGGAGACTCTTTTTACTGGAAACGAGGCATTCTATCTCAGTCCTCACGGGTGACCAGGCATCTGCATTTTGATTCGTTATCAAGGATAGAGGTAGATGTCTATAGGCCACAGCAACCTCTTACCCATCAGGTGGACTGTGTGCTCATTTGTTACCTTATCCTATTAAAAAAAACTTGGCGGGCGGGTGGTCAACCGTAGTTTTTTTATTAATTTGAGTTGTTATCAGGAAGATGGTGCGGCCGATCTCCTATTTCAGTTCCCCTATGTCGCCTTTTACGACATCCACTGGACGATATGGGGTAGTGGATATTCTAACACTGCCATTACACCACCATTACGTGGTCAATAGACCGGTAGTCAACACAGCGTATTTTTAACAGACGTCGAAAAAAGCAGGAGGTTTACCATTCCACTGTATGCTCTCTATGTATGTGTGAAATATTTTATCTTCGTCGATTTTGAAACAATTTTCATGATTACTTTTTATTAAATTGGTTATACTACCAGGGAAGTTCCAAATAAATTTTAAGGAATACCAGCATAAAATAGTAGCTTACTGCTGTTGTATTTCGTATGGTGAGTGTAGAGAACTTTAGACCCTATTTACTGGAAATGAGGCATTCCATCTTAGTCCTCACGGGTGACAACGCATTTGCATTCTGATTCGCAATCGAGAATAGAGGAGTCTATTGATCACAGCAACCACCTACCATTAGGTGGACTGTGTGCTCGTTTGTCACCTTATCCTACAAAAAAAGAAATATTCCACTCCTAAAGATGGTAAAATAGGGGATGAAATTATGTAAATATTTAGTTTGTTACTAAAACTAGTACCAGGATGACCGAGCTTTGCTCGTTTTTTTTTTTAAATTACTTTTAGATACAAATTACACACTTTTATTATTTGAATTAAAAATCATGGGTTTAATTAATTTAATTAAAATTTTCGTATTTTTAAAAAATACTAAAAAAAGAGCTCGAAATAAAAGATTTTCTCAAAAAAGAAGGGAACTTGAAAAAAAAAGGAAAAAAAAATCGGACCGAAGACGGGACGCGAAGCAAGGCATTACGATTTTGCGACCGCTCGATATCCACTTGAGCTATTAAGATCATTGTCTAAGTATCAAAATTTACCTTCTTATATTGTAGCAGTTTTTCATTGCCGGAAAACACGGACAAAAAGACATTTTCTAAAAATAAATCCTAGCTAGATCGATTTATTGCCCTCGAAACTCCCTGGACACTAAATTTTATGAAAATCGTTGGAGCCGTTTCCGATATATATATACATATATATATACAAGAATTGCTCGTTTAAAGGTATAGGATTTTATTAAATAGGTTGTATTTTATGGCGGTCTGTATGGTTTAAGGTGATCCAATCTCCGGGTAGCTATATAACTTGGAGAAAAATCCCACTCCCTTAGGGTGACAAAATAAAGGATAAAGTTTTTAATGTGACTATTTAGACGACATTCGAGCTTTTCATATTATTAGTTCACTTAACTAACACTTAATTATTATTAATGTTAGAAAACACGTTATAAAAAAAACTAAAACTGAAAACTTATCTTACAGTGCTATTGCCCGAGGTTTAGTGCCAAGAACGCTGGCTGCGTTTCCTCGCTGTATGGCAATATTTATTCTTTGAGCGAGGAAACAACCAGCCCTCTTATCACCAACAGCAACGAGCAGCCACGCATACAATTTCTTTAAGAACTTCAGCGCATTTGGACCTCGCTCCCATTTTCCACTTAATAACTTCAGAATTCTAGGCTACATTATACTATGTCTTGGCACTGACTTCTGAAACCATGTTTGAAAAAAAAATTTTATTTCTTTGAAGATGGCTTTTACTTTTAATTTGAATGTAATTTTTTTCTCAAAGTCGATAAAACCGATGTGCCAGATTAATTCATCAATCACCTGTCCGATCGTGAGTCGATCCGGATATCCGGGTATTTGACCGTGCATAT